CAAGGGCAGATTCAAGGACTTCAGATGAAGCATGTTCGGCAACATGTTCGGAGGAGCGTGACTCCTGAGAAAGCATTGCGAATGTGAGGCAAGGACGAAATTAAGACGATGCGTTGGTGGATCACGTGGCGCAGGAGAAAACACAAAATAGGCTAATTCAATAAACACTGTGTAACTACTAATACTGTAACTATACTATATAGTAATACCGAAATACCATGTTGCCATGTTCAATATGGATTGGTTTCTTTAATATGGAAGATAGTGAGTTTGCACAAGTTTTGACCAAGACCATCTGCCACGTGTGCCCACTTGTAAATACGCAGTCTTCAACTCATGTTAGTGCTGTTTGAAAGAGGCGGATGGTGCGATATATGCGCACATCCCTAAGCCTCATGACTCGGGCGGAGGCAGCATGCTGAGATTGTCAACGAACCCTGGAACCCTTCGAACCATCTCCCCCCGACATGTCAATGTGTTTCTGTGACTCCGTCAAGAGAACTGGTCTCCAGACTGATGTTTGGGGCTCGAGTAGCACGTTCCCCTCTCTTTGACATGGCTTTAATATCTTTAATGATTTTCAATGGCGTTGAAAGGAAAAGGAGGCGTCAGCGCAATGCGGGAGTATTCCGTGCCGAGACACACGACTCATGGAGTCTATCTACTACCTGTACCCTTGAGAGGCGCTGTTTTTTTCGCGCGGGGTAGGTTTTTAGGATTCATTCAATGACAAGTTCAGGGCCTACGTGGGTGCATCTCACCAAAAACCATTTTAAAGGGAAGAAGAGACCTCCCAGCTACTTTCAAGGTAGAACAGCCTCAAACCCTTCATCTAAAGCACTAAAAGATTCGTCTTCACTGGAAGTGCAAAGTGTTCTTTTCCAAAAGGGGGCCTTCAACAGGGGCTTCAAAGCTCCTGAGCATCCGCGGGCATCTCAATATTGTTCCTCTTGATAGCAAAGCTTTATCAAGGGACGCACAACTCCCCATACGGCGTTGAAGTTCTGTCATGACCTAATTAGAGACTACAGTGTGATTTACAGTTGAAACAGAAAATATTCCACCAAATGCTAACTACAGTACCAGACATGACTAAACAAAAGGATTCATTAATTAAAAGATACATCAACGCACCCGACCAAAAGTGATGACAACTTACGTCCCACACCGTCAATATTAAGACATGAGGCCCAATGTCATTACAAACCCAAAGATACCAATTCGGCGTCGTTTGACGTCGTTTTTTGGGGTGCGGGTTTGGCGCGGAGTCTGTTTTTTGAGTGATGGCGTCGGTTTGGCGTTTGGATGCGTTTGGCTTTTAAGTGAAGGCACGAGTTTTCAGGATTTGGCGTTTGGTTTTTGCACGCGGTGGATGAGTCGATTTCTACAGAAACACAACAAAAGAGTGCCAAATCCTTCAAAACCGCTCCTTAACCTCTTAAGTTCTTGGTGTTGTAGGCAAACTTGGAGGCCAAGCAGACACTTGCCACCAAAGCAAGTTCTCACCGAGTTCATTCCCCAAATAAACCTTGGCCCTCCATGATTCCAGGCTAGGTTCAGTTTGTACAACGGGGAAGGGCTTGCTACTAGTAGGGTCAACTTTTCTTTGAGTGTACGGTATAAGAAGAACCCAGGGCCCTCCAAATGTCCATCCAGGCGAAGGTAGTTTTAGTGATTAGGGTTGTTGTGGCTGTGCAGCCATCCGGTTTTGATTACTTGTGCTCCCTACCTCTGATAGCTGTTTTTTTTGCAGAATGACATGGGGCATTGAGAAACACAAGCAAACATTTAACAGGCCATGCAAGCCTCTTTGTTAAATACATCAAATTATACATCCATGTTTCTTCTTATAGTTTTGGACTTTTTTGACAAGTGTCCCTCCAGGACCTCAGCACGCAAACAAATTACAGCGGATTATGTTTTGGGGCGCACCTGACAAAACAAATAACACAGTTTTCAGGGCTCCAGGTAGTTACTTATAATACTATATACTTCCCTTTTCAGTTTTGGTCCGCTTTCGTTTATTAAATACTGTAATTCACATCAACCATCAATACTATTTGTTTCGATCGGATCTTTGGCAAGTATGTTGCCCATTCAGTTGGACCTCGCAAACATAACCCTTCTTGATTGTCCATGTTCCCCTGAGTGTGCAGTTTGCTGCGGCTTTGCTGGAATGGATTAATCATTAACATGTTTCTGTTGTACTACAGAAAGCAACAACAACAACAACTGTTGATTGTCCATGCTTCTCGTCCTGGAAGAAGTGATCCGGATGAATTTTGGTGGACTCCAAAAAGCTGCTGGCCTTCCAAGGAGAATGTGAAAGGATGGACCAAGAAGAAACTGTTGCTGTGCCTGCCATTAGCAACAGGTCACAGTGGGCAGTTGTGAGTGCTGTTGCGTATGGTGGAAACCCGCCTTCCCCGTAGAGAATTGTTTGACAGATCTGTTTTTGGAGATGTTCGCTAAGTTAGTTGGGATGGAGGAACTCTGATCAATTCATTTATTGCCAAGTGTCTTTCCATATTTGATGGCAAGCTGTCTAGTATTTTATGCCAAGTATGTTTCCACGTGTTCATGTCATTCAATATGTTGCATTTTAGGCTGCTAATCTGAAACTGAGTGGGTTCCATTTTGTATGCTAAGACAACTGAACTCAACATTACTGGGTGTTTATCCCAACTGGTCAAGGCGGGGCGGTTTTCACATGTGAACAATTGAAGTCCGAGCTTCAGAGTTTCTAGGGACTGGCTCATTTCAGATTTGCTTTCGATCATACGAACCAGCGGGTTCCAGTCAAATCGGCCCCATGTCTCAGGCTCTTCAGTCACCAGTTGGCGATTGTGCCGGTGAACTCCGACCTTCATTGGCAGGGCACCTCAAGGGTGCTTCGAGCACCCATGACTCCGTGACTGAATGTATTTTGAGGATATTAAGTATCACTTGCTTAGCAAGCAAAATAGGGCAATCCCATGCAATAACAAACGCTTTTGCAATGTGTCCACTCCTTCTTATATCATATCTATATATATAAACATTATAAACCATCCAGTTTAATCATTGCCGTATAAAGCCCTTGCAGTGGTATAAAACAACCGCACCTCATGAATCAACTCCGGCTGTCTCACCTCTTCGTAAGGTGGCTGGCCTTGATCTTCTTCGACCGGTGGGACCGATCCTTCGTTCGCCTCAGCTGGTTGGACTCGCTCCCCGGCGAGGACGGAGTGTCTCGGGCGAGAGATGGGGGAGCGTTTGAACCAACGACTCTCGTCGACCACGGACGGCGGTGACCAGGTCGTTGGTGACCTTTGTGACCTCTACCCGGGGTCTCCGAAGGGCTGCTCTGGCGCATCGGACCGGATGCAAGTTGGTGTGGGACCGTGTTTGTTCTTATTTTTTCTTCACGGTTTTACAGTGGGATCTTAGGCACCGTCCACGGTTTCCGGAAGACATGTGTTGAGACTGGATGTGACCACTGGACCTGGGGTGCACTGTTGTTCTAAGGATCATCTCGGACCATGTTGCTAGTTGATAAAACATATGACTCTGACTGTGAGTCCAAACCAGTATACCTTGGTTGACCCATCTGCTGTCGGTCTTTCGCGACAAACAGTGGACCGGTAGGGCCGCTGCCAGCGGCCTGAACCAGCGTCGATCCATCCACAAGCCAGGACCCGAACCAGACCCGGACGGTGAAAAAGATCCTGGGACCTGTCGCACCTGCCGCTGATGACACCAGGACACGCGATACAGCACGGCCTCCAGCTTCCTGTCAGGCGCCACGGAGAAGAGCTGAGGATGCTTGTAATGAGCACGCAATGAGTCAAGACCACTTTGAGATTGACGTTTTGGTTTTCTATCTGTTTAGTGGGACTGCTTGTGCATTTTCCACAGAGATATGCAACTAGTGCTGGACAGTTGCTCATTTGTAGAAGTGGACAGCAGGCTTCGCAGGCTTGCGGTGCGGAGGTTCCATGGAAGCATCTTCCAGACACGTCATGGAGGGTAGGTAGCAGTATCGACGTCAGTAAGCTGAGCATCGTACAGCGGGCACCCAGTGACTGGTCGACCAGTGGGTCTCGGTCGCAATCCAAACCCGGTGCGCATGGTGACCACAGGTTTGCTGATGATAAAACCCTTCAAGGCTGCATCAGCAAACCCTTCAAGGTAAAACATCTTTTTTGGCTGCACAAAAATTGAATGGTGAAAATATAAGCCCTCAACATGCTCAACAGGGCTATCAGGTGTTGTGAGGGTGTAGTGTGAGTAGATGTGAGTCATTTTTGTGTGGCGATTGGAATTCGTTCTTTGGAGGTCGAAGCAAAATTGTTCGCGTTTGGAGGTAGTGCATTTGTTCCTGCGGGTTCACCACTCACCCGTACCGCCATCGTCCGACGTCGGTCGGAAGGGTCTAAGGGTCTTCGTTCAGCCTTCCTCTCGCAGGCTACTTGCGTCGAGAATGGCAAGCTCGATCAGCTGAGTCCAAAGCCTTGAGCCTTGCGACCTTTGGCGGCGATGGACATGGTTTGACCATGGCAGCAAGGAAATCAGTGGCCAAACATTCACGCTGGTGCGTTGAAAAGGATTTGAAGGTTGTGTGTTTCTGGATATTGAATGTCGCATGTTTAATCGATAGCCTCGGGCCAAGATCAACAACGATTGGAAGGTCTTAAGTACAAGATTCAGTGTATGGCAGATGTTTCCTTCCTAATTGTACGCAAAACGCAGCAAGATACCATTCAAGATACCTGCCTCACCATAGAGGTCAGAGCCTGAATTGCTTCCTGCCGGAGAGCAAGACAATGGTGACTTGCAAGGAATGGACCAAAAACCCAGGTGCCAAAAGAGCATCAGGTGGCGGAGATTTGTATCATGTTGTATCCCTCTTCGAAGACACCAGATCTTATATTTTGTCGAGGTTTGTTGGTAAGGTTACTGTAAAAGTACTTGCAAGTGGGTGCTTGAATCACATACCTCCTAGTCCATTGGCATCGAGGCATAGCGTTTTGCGTGTAGGACACCCAGTGGTGTTGCGGAGCTATGGTTTTCAGAAGCCTCGGAGTTGGAGCAGTTTGTGTAGGTTTGTGCCCGCCACTTCTTGGGTTACTCCTTCTTACCAAACAATGCCTTGTGTTGACTCTTGGCCCTGGGCTGTTGAGTATGCCAACCCATGAGGGCCCGAGTCTAAGCCCAGCCATTTGCTCAAAACCCAGGTGTGGACTGCGGGATTTTCCTCTTGGACAACGTTTGGCGCCTGCTCTCCGCTGAGGGGCAGACCAATATTGAGCTGCTTGATTCGAAGGGATGCCCACACCCATGATTTTGTTTGTTTTTTAATATCCAACAATTGTTTATCTCAGTTTATATTTGTTCCTTCTTTTTGTGGTTCACTTAGGTGGGCCCGAGGGCAACTAAGCAACTGGGTGGCGGTGAGGACAGGCCCACAAAAGAGGAAGCTAGAATAATAGGATCTCTTTCCTTTCAATAAGATACGTGAACGCCTAGCTTTGCTGCAGAGTAGAGTGCCATAGTGTTGACAAAATGCTATTTTTCCTTCCCATCACTCACAATAAGAGACTGCCACATGAAACATACCCGTGCTCTTCAATGCTTGTCCGACTATCCAACCTACCTGACTGAACCTTGCTGGGAGTTGTACGTTGGTGAAACAACCCGCTGTGAGTAAACTATACGTGATACTTGGCTCATTGTCAGTAGAGTAGAAACAGGGCATCCAAGTTTCTTGTTTCAGGTAGTCAGCTAGTCACACACACATGAATTAAAAAAAAGGAAAAACAACTCCTCTAACCTTCGAACATCTTCGAACAAAGGAGTCTTGAAGAATCCCTCTTGCCTCCAAGGAGTAAGATTACTTTCTTGGGCCTATGGAGTAAGATTTCAACCAATTCCGCTGAAGCTGGGAACTTCCGTTTTTCTTACCGGACCCGCAGGTGGTGCACTCCGGACGCCGCGCACGAGCGGCGCCTGCGGCTGCGGCGCTTGGCACGGCGCTTGACAGAGCTGGGAGGCGATGTGCAGGCGCTGGGGAAAAGGGGGAAGGCTATCGGGAAGCTCCTAGGAACAAGTGCCACGCTAGTAGTAACAGGTGCCTTACTAGTAGTAACAAAGAAGCTATATTAATTTTAATTTAATTGGGAAGCTCAACATGAGAACTGGAAGATTTATCAGGCGGCCATGGATGGTATACAGTATACTGTATCAGTATATACCCGGGGTTTATGTGAATCAAAACATACTTCCTAAACTATCTTGGGGGTGCTGTCTCCTGCAACTATGGCTATGGATTCCAGCCGCTTTGTGAGGCTCAGTTAGCCAGCCGCCCTGAGCTTTCAGCCAAGCTACGAGCAGTCTGGGGGAGCTTTCAGCCGACACGGCCCAATGCAGCTACAGACCCTTGGGCAGAGTGCTTCAGCTTTTGAGAGATGTGATTTCTGTTGGATGCAACCAGAAGTGGAACTTGAATTGGTTTTGCCTCGAGTCCGACCATGTCCCACCCCAAAAAATTGGAGATCTGCCTGGAGCCCAAGAATCGTCTTATACGATTCCGTGGAAGCAAACAGACGATTGGAGGAGACAGTCTCAGCCACAAAGGCCACAATGGGTATGAACAGTTGACTTGTTTCAACACAGTGGGCATCCAGTCAAAGTCGGTTTACTTCGAAAAGTCGACTTTCGGTCGTTTCAAGTACAATTATTTGTCCTGCTCGTCAGCTAGCGTGGACTTATTGTGGGCTCCAAGGAGGTAGCAGTGAAGGCGCTTGCCAATTCGATCTTCTTGGATGATGATGAAGGACCGCCTGGTTTGGCTGGATCGGGCGGCGATACCAGGATTTGCGCTTGCTGTGACCGTGCCCTCCTGAAGGAGTTTGTCAAGGCGTTTGGCCTGGAAAGTCTAGAGCTATGGAGTGGTTTCAGAGAGTTGACAACAATATTTCTCCGAGTCTGATGAGGGTTTCTATCAGAATCTCTATTTCTTCATGAAATTCATTGAGCTCCCAAAACAGTTTGCCCCCCCAAAACCTCCATTTCAGCGGATTCCAGAGCCGTCCCATTTCTTCCTCTTCCTGCCATCGGAGCCTCCGGTTTCAGACCTGCCATCGGGTCGACCAGCGTGGCAGGAGACGTGATGGAGTGTTGCCCAGTGTGATGGGGTGACAGTAGGGGTGACAGTGGGGCGAGACCTCGGGAACCTGCAGGATAGAACGCGTTTGTTTTGTACACGTTTTTGCTGGAATGGATGGTGCTGGATGGTTGAGCCATAGTGACCTGGGTTGAGGGCCGGGCCTGGGTCCGAGCGAAAGGTGGTGGCTACGGAATCTCACCACGAGCTGCACCTTGACATGAAAGAAATAATTTTGGTATAGAACAGAGTGCTTACTCAGGCAATGATTCGCTTGTCATTCTCTGGGGAGCTTCGGCTGGTAGACATTCCATGACTTCTTGACTTTTGGGCGTTAGACGAGGAGAACCTGAGAACGGAAACTTACGTACCATGCTGATGTCATGGACACTACCACGCATTGGTGGTCATTCATTTTGTTCAAAGAATGTGTCAATCGATCTAGGATAGTTTTGCTGGATTTCTTCAGTAGTGCCGGACATTGCTTGTGTTTCGGTGCGGCACTGCCTGATGCCGGCTCGCTCGTGCAGCTGGTGCGAATTCGGGTGGCTCCCATTGGGATGTTGGGTGGAGCTTTCGGATGTGCTGAAAAGTGTGCCACTTCACTTGAGAATGGTTGAAAGCAATCAGGATGAAATCCATGGTCATTCAGGATAACATGGGGTTGGTTGGCAGAGGGCTTTTGGATTGTGTTGCCAAAAATCAAGAAATGCATATATGTATGTCATTGTATATAAGCATTAAACATTTCAGTAAACATAAACTTGATTAGTAAGTTGAATTTGCATATATATTATTATATTAGATAGTATGTTTGTATATGTATGACTGTATGACTATATAACAAAAGAGTCAAACCAATCAAGCCACCCCAGAACACCGGTCTGCCTTGCTGACCAGTTGACCAAGTGAGTTAAGAAGCAAATACCGCATTTTCCCAGTCTCAACACCGCCATCATTGTAGAAGCTAACCCCATAGGAAAAGCCCTTTACCAAGTCTCCTTCACATAGATGCAGATGTTGCAAGAGGTCGCAGGGTGGTCAGGGCAGGGCGCATGTGTTTTGTTCTTTTGTTCCCTTTCCCTGATCACCCTCGGTATTTGACCCTTTTTGGCAACCCTTTTGGTAAGAGTCACTTGATTGCTTTGGCCCGAAGAACGAGTCCGCGAAACTGGCCAGCAAAGGGGCCCTTTCAAATCTGATGGTTGTGTCCAACCATGGAAGCAACACAAGAAGACAACCATATGTGACCACTCTTGCATCTCGATCATTTGAAGTGTTTGACCATGTACTTAAGTGAATGTGGAGACCCACCAAGGACCACATCGAAGTAGGACGATACATACATCCAAGCCCATTAGCTGTTGGATTCAGTATCTTGATATATATACAGCCATAATTATGTACTTATGTGCTGCCGTGGTTGTTGACTTGCTGCAGGGTGCCAAGCCCAAGAAGGTTCGCGTGCGCAACAGGACTCCGTGATCGACGTGAGTGGAGGTCTTGAGACAGCGGGGACATGGACGAAAGCGGAACTGATATGCAATCAACCCAATAATGTACTATCCCGGCTGATGTTTGTTTGTTTTTTCTTACATATATATACCGCAATCCGTTTTTGTTTTACTACTGTTCATGCTTGCTGAAGTCAGTTTGACCTACAATTTGGCAAACTCAGTTGATGTGTCCAGTGAAAAAGGCATCAATTTGCCCTGCATGGGTGATGATTGAAGTCACTCTCGAAGAGTCGAAGACTGGTGGCGAAGGAGCGCGAGGACTGGTCACGGTGGCGAAGAGGCGGGCGGTCGTCGCGTGGTGGAAGACGCGGTCACAGGGCGAGTCAGGAAGCCTCGATTCCCTTTACCCTTTGAGTCAGATCCAATGAATCATCTGTTCATGTCACCCAGACAGTCTCTTGAAGCCATTCGGATATCAATTGAGGCACATAGAGGCACATAGTCTGTATGTCCCATTTTGTTCCGCGCAGTGCACTGCAGTCCGCCCAGGCGCCCAGCACAGCTCCCAGGCGCCCAGCTCAGCTCCGAGTTGCACCGAATCGATGTCGGTGGATTCACATGGATGTCACTTCAGCCTCGGTATGGATGTCGGGCAGCCACTCATTTTGCTCATTTGGGAGTTTCTTTTTTTTGTTTTCAGACATTTACTTCAATGCAATTCTGTTCAAGCTTGAAGCAGTTGTTGGTTCGAAGCTCCAGCCACTTGTCTTTTGAACCCTGTCCATACATGGGTCCAGGTAGTGTCGGGTGCAATGCAAGGCTTAGCAAGGGTTGAGTGTGTTGACCGTTTCACATATATATATATATATACGTTCTCTCTTTTTGTGTGTTTTCTGACAAGGTGCATGTCCACACATATGCTTTGCGACTTTGATCTGGAAAAAACTACGCTGCTCGAGAGAAAAACAACATTTGAGTCTGTTAGAGAGTGTCAACCAGTGTTGAGAGAGCAGCAAAGACAGAGTAGCACGACAGCAGAACGAGTGAAGGGAAGAATAGAACACACATATACTTTGGAACCTGTGCCCACAGCATACCCTGCCCTGCATGTGAGGTGCAAGAAGGGCCACAGCATGGGTCACCGCTCAGACAATCCAGCGACCTACAAGAATTTGGCCGCTCGGATGCCGACAGCAATTCCTACTAGTAGGAACAAGAAGCTAGTAGTAACAAGTGCCACGCTAGTAGTAACAGGTGCCTTACTAGTAGTAACAAGAAGCTACTAGGAACAAGTGCATCGCTACTAGTAACAAGTGCCTTACTGCAGTTTGCAGGAATCGAAACAAGGTAGGCGCGCCCCGTAGCGGGGCCGTGCGTTGGTGATGTGTTTTTTAACGTCTTGTTTTGTAGGAATTGTGATGAATTGTGTAATTTCCCACGTTTTGGATGTTTTTACACGGAGAGTGTTTTCGGGGAGGTGGCTAAAGTATGCTAAAGTGCTGTAAGGGTTGCTCGGAACCTTCGTTTTTGGAGGTTTCGCTACAGTTTCAAACAGTTTTGACTACATAAGTTTTCCGGTCCAAAAGTTTCGCGGACTTTTTTTTAATGTTCTCTAGCGAATCGAAGCGAAAAGCGGAGCGACATGCGAAGCGAACCAAAGCGACATGCAACACAACATGCGAAGCGAAGGGAAGCGAAACCACAAACAACTAGAACATGCCAAAGATCCACGGATGTAGCATCAAGTATGTTTGCAGGTACAAGTGCCGTCAAAGCCACAATGTATAAACGCCCGGCCCCTTACAGGCGCAGCTACCAAATGCCGACAGCAATTCCTACCGGTGTCACAGGCATTGTTGAGGAATCGAAACAAGGACCCAAATCGAGGCAGTTTGCTTGGTGGGAATCTGTTCGTTTTAATGGCAGAAGAAGCTTTTGGGAAGTGGACATTCATTTAGTCTATGTTTATTTCAATGTCTTTGGCCGTTTTCAAGACGCTGCACTGTCAAGTACTTGGAGAAGCTTCATGGGAGTTTGGAAGAGGCTTTTCAGAGCTTCATGGGTGTCTTGACCTGGTTTGCTGGCCATTCGCTCATTTCTCGACCCAATCTAGGGGGTATGTCTTGCAGAAAGGGAGGAATGACGGGATGAGTACATGAAACTCTCTATGAGAGACGAATCACACATTATTGCTCAAGCAGATCATTTTGGCGCAGTTTTGAGCACCAGCAAAACGCAAAACCAAGGCCTGCTGTGATGTATGCGGCAAAGAGAATCTGCCCAAGTTGTGCTCGAAGGGGTAACTTGACTTCAGGATCTTAAATCACCAGGTTAGTTGAAAGGGCCGTCAGCACCTAGCACCTACCGTGATATGATATGGTGCTTTCCTTTCGACATCAGTTGCCAGTCAGCACTATGTTTTCTTTTTTGCCTCAATCTCCATGGTGTCTTATACTCTTACTGCCTGAGGATACTCATAGAAATTCCCCTTCATGAAAGACACGGCGAAGAAAATTCTGTCGGGATAGACACTTCGTTGTGTGATCGGCGAGATGAAGCCAAAAATGCATTTTGTTTTAATCCATTTAAGAATACATAAAGTTGCTCACTACACTCTCGGGTGGCGCCTTCGTGGCCTTGGCCATCTCTCATGCATTCTGGCAAGGACTTCACCCATGGTTTGAGGTCAGACGCACTGATGAAAGATCTGAAAGGATCCAAATCCACTTTCATATCCACCTTTGCAGGGCCTTTTTGTTGGCTACAGACGGCTACAGATTCTGTTGCACAATGATGTTTGTGCATGTGTTTATGAGTTGATCAGGATCAGGATTACCGCCCTGGAAGCGGTAAAACAATCAATCACTCCATTCACGGGTTTGCGTGTTTCTCCAGAAACAGGAATGTGTTTGGACATACTGGATACCTGGACATTAATCTCAAGTTAACATCTCCTCCAGCAGTGTCCCTGACTAGATTCTTACCCAGAATTTGCTCATTGTTTGAAATAGTTGTTTGCAGCAAGCTTGCAAATCTAAGTCTCCCAACCTGGGAATGGCGTTAGGAAATGCCCAGAAAAGCTGGCCACTGTTCTATTTGGTTGTTGATCCTGAGAAAGTTCCTGAACATGCATTTGTTCATATCATATTGGGGTCATGCAACGTGCAAAGACCAGGCACCAAGTCGCATTGTACGGCTGTACGACCATACGAAGGTTGCAACGAGAAAGATAGCATGTGCTACCCAAGTACCTTGATCTTGGCCAATGACACCTCCTTCCCCCGCCTACCTTAGCAGCTACCTAGCAGCACCGTAGCACCCTCAAGGGTTGTGGGGGACTTCAGGGAATTTCTCACCTCACACCTGTCCTATGTTGCTGTGGTGAACCACCCGATGTCCAAGTAGAACCAACAGAGAAGTTTGATTTCCTAGCAAGAGATGGACAGGGAATAAGCTCAGGAAACCCATGGTTTGTGCACTTCCATTGGTGACTTGCTTCGCAAAATCAGTCACATCCCGCTTTCGGTTCCTAACCGAGGAAGCTATCGCATTTCTTCCATTGCAGGCGTC